AAAAAAGAAAAGAAAATTTAGGAATCATTGGAGCTATTTAACAACTCTGTAAATTTTAACAACAGATAGCAATGTTAAATACTTTATTATCTATAGACAGGCAAATAATGTTATCCAGTGAAGGACAAGTCTTCCTTTCCCGATGGAAAGCCAGTTTCAATATTCCCACACTATATTTCAATACTCAATACTCCTGATCTACAAACATACCCATTCTTTGGATTCTTCTTTAATCTGGCTGTAACAGCCTCACCAGTTTCGTCATTAATGAGTGCTGGGACTCAGAAGCCGATACCTCAAAATACGGGACTTTGACATGCTGTAGACCTCAAGGTCTCTGTGACCTTCCCTGCTCCCAGCTCGACAAAGCCTTTATCTGCTGAAGATCCAGACCCACCAAAAGGAACAATTGTTTATTTTCCCTTCTCTGTAAGACCAAGAATATACCCACACCTGAACAGACCCTTTCACAAGATAATGTAGCTTCTTCTCTCCCCTGACCCATTCATTCTCCCTAGCAAGCACCTCAACAGAACTGCTCTTCTCCTCCCTTCCATAACCTGCCAGAGTGGTCTAGAAGCTTCTGACACATGTTGCAGGGTGGCGTAATCAATCACTCTGATTCTCCATTTGTGTGTGTTACATAGATGTGTATGCATTTACCATCACATGACCTTAAGAGTCTTGTTGCTCTATTACCAATAATGACTGAAGGAAATTGGTATTTTTGTCCATTTCAGCTACTACTAGGATAATCTTATAAGTTATTTGGAAAGTTATGTTTTAGTCCATTTAATATACGTGCCTTGATGGAAAAACACCTTTTGCCACAGAGGACACCAAAGTTTCAATATTGATAGGAGCAAAATACATGAGAGTATTTTATTTTTTTGAGGCAGAGTCTTGCTCTGTTGCCAGGCTGGAGTGCAGTGGTACGATCTCGGCTCACTGCAAACTCCAACTTCCAAGTTCAAGCCGTTCTTCAGCCTCAGCCTCCCGAGAAACTGGGATTATGGGTGCCCACCACCACGCCTGGCTAATTTTTGCATTTTTAGTAGAGATGGGGTTTCACCCGAGGGCTAGGCTGATCTCAAACTCCTGACCTCAAGACCTCAAGTGATCTGCCCGCGCAGCCTCCCAAAGTGCTGGTATTACAGGCGTGAGCCACCAGCTCAGCCTGAGGGTACTTTTAGAAAACATTATTTCTCTACCCTTTTCAAACCTGAAGCACTCCAAAAGACCCAACCTGTTGCACATTTGCAGCAGCGACATTGATTTGGTAAATAGATGTCACACTGTTATTTGAGGACTTAGGTATCCTTTCCAGCAGTGTTATTTTAAGGCGTAGTGCTTTCTTTTAGTTTCAATTAACTAAATTTCAAGTGGTCCCCCAAAAACCCCTGCTCTCTTAAATTCAAACTCACCTCTATTTTCCTCACTAGGAAAGACCTTTTTTCTATCCTTGGATTGGAATTTGGAATTCTGTGCTAAAATGTCTTTCAGTTAAAATCTGTGAACGCGGGTTACAACCTTAGGAGGTGCGGGCACTGTACGAAAATCGTGGTTTTGTTTAATTTGCTTTTCCAGAAGCCTGCGAATGGGAATTCTAGACAAACTCACTTGGGTGAGTCACAGCACGCGAGCTGTGGGCCTCTTCACCCAGCTCGGAGTGCAGCCCGGGTCCGCGGATCCAGGAGCCCGCCCCCAGCTCTCCAAACCCGGGAAGAGAGAGGCCACACTGCTGCGAGCGAGGGATGACGGTGCTCCTTCAATTAATTCGCCCCCGAGATGTTCTTACCTACACAAGGGGGCCTCTGCTCACCAGATCGCTGACTTGCGGGACGACCACGCACCCGCAGCTGTCGGATGGATCCAGGCGCTCTGAATAGGGGCGGGGGCGGAGCCTGCCTGGCCGAGAGCCCGGGGCCACGCCCCCACGTTTTGCATACGCGAGTCGGGGCCTCCAGACCTTTCAACGCAGTGGGGAAGCCCAGGTTTCCCTGGGCCCGGGCGGGTTTTCTGGGCAAAAACAGCTAACTCCGCCGAAAGGTGCAACTGAAGTAATACACTGACATTCAGCATAATGAAGCAGGATGGCCTGAATCCAACGTCGATCGTTTGCTTTATTTATAAATATGTCCTTTCTTATGAATCCAAGGCTGGCTGTGACCGCCGCACTCTACATTGAAGAAAGTGAGGCAGAAGGAAGCAGGCCTCCCCTCCCCTTCCCCTCCCCTTCCCCTCCCCTTCCCCTCCCCTTC